ACATGCAGCACATACTAGCAACACTTCAGCATACTTTAATTCACAAATAATTGTATATCAAAAAGGATTTACTGCTGCTACTATTTATAGTTTTTGCTATATATTCTATTCCCTTTTTTGCTATTATTACTTGTTTGTATTCATGTGTATTCCAATGTTGAGAGCAGTCAGTGAGAAAATAGTTGGCTGTAATGTTAACATCCTATAGTGTGTTCATGAACTAGGATGTTGCTGGAATCAGTGCAGCCAGAGACCCCTGGTCTTCCACCAGTGCTGTGAGGAAGGATGCTACGGTAGGCCAAGCAGAGACAGAGAGGAGTGTGGTAGAGGTAGGAAAAACCCAACAGACAGACAGTGACAACAAAGAACAGCATACTGTAGAGAATGACAGTAACAGCAGACGAATGGCATAAACAGACAGCACACAGACTCTACAACATCCTCAGATTCTTTTTCTTCTGTTTTTACTGTATGTGTAAATTTGTTATAAACGTGTGCTCTTTAAAAAGTAGTAAGCATTGTTTGCCAGACACATACATTAAATGTTTAAATATCTGTTACATAGTATATGGTACTGCTTATATTATTTCACCATCTGTACACAAATGTAAGTAGTGAATGTGTGTGTCCGTGGGTGGGGCTGTGTCGGTGTGGCTACAGTGCCAGGGCTGAATTTTTGTCCCAGTCCGCCCCTGACTACTGCTGCTAGTCGACTAAACAAAAATAAGGCAAAATTGTTTCTTGCATTATTAAAAAACTATATCACACATTAAAATAAAGTTTGCATTTAATGTGGTGCAATTCAGTTACAATGTTAATTTGTTTAAAGCACGGCACATTGTCAATTTAGGCTCTGATTTATTTATTTAGAATATGATAAAGTGATTACACTACCGTTCAACCGTTTATGTGGGTCAGTAAGATTTTTTTATTTTAAAGAAATTAATGCTTTTATTTAGCAAGGATACATTAAATTGATCAACAGTAAAGACATTTATAATATTAGAAAATAATTGTATTTTCAAATAAATGCTGTTCTTTAATTACTTTAAATTCATTAAAAAAAATGTAAAAATGTATCATAGAATGCTGTATCATTAGAATGATTTCTGAAGGATCATGTGACACTGAAGACTGGAGTAATGATGCTGAAAATTCAGCTTTACATCACAGAAATAAATTACATTCTAAAATCTATTAAAATAGAAAACAGTTATTTTAAATTGTATTTATATTTTAGAGTATTACTGTTTTATTTAAACAAATGCAGCCTTCGTGAGCATAGGAGACTTCTTTTAAAAACAATAAGAAACCATTTTTTTTTAATGAAATTGTATGTGCAATCCAAAGCATATTTAATTTATTGATTTATGTTTATTCATTGAATGTTTGATGCAGGTCACGTTTATTACTTATTATTATGGGTTTGTTTAAATCACTCACTCAACATGAGCAATGGTGATACGGCACTGAAATAGTGAACACCACTAAATCAGGACGGAAATCTCTCTAAAAGGTTGCTAGAATGCTGTGAAAGCTTGCGGAAGCAGTACTTCTGTTTTTAAAAGTTACCTTCTGAAGTCATTGATGCTTTTGTAGAGAAAGACGTTGTTTTCATTTGGATTCAGATGTTGTGCCAGGATAAATATGTTTTGGATGTAAAAGCAGTGAGTAGAGCGATTGTTTACCTTCTCTCTCTCATTTCCCCACTGTTCGGTGACCTTCGCCAGCTTTCTGAGCTTTGCTCTAGTTCTTGTGTTTTTCCTTGAATTTTGTATTGTTTGTGTATTTTTAAAGGGGTCATATGATGCGATTTCAATTTTTCGTTTCTCTTTACAAGCTCTTGGTGCATAAAGAAGATCTGTAAAGCTGCAAAGACTAAAGTCTCAAATTCAAAGAGATATTCTTTATAAAAGTTAAGAGTCAGCCACGCCTACCTAAAACGGCTCGTTCTAACACGCCCCCACATATCTACGTCACTGTGTGGGAAGATTTGCATAACGCCGCCCAAATGTTCACGCAAAGAAAGAAGGCGTAACTTTTATTCTCGCTGTAGTATTGTTGTTGCCGTCGCCATGTCGTGAAGACGCTGTGTGCTTCGTTGTGAAAGCGAAACTACTTTGTTTGGTCTTCCAAAAGAGGACGATATCTGCTTCGTCATGCCTAGAGCTGATCCGTGCTGGTCGCTGAGGAAATACATCAACTTCGCGCTGTGGATCGCCGGATCGGCTTTCACCGTGGACGAAGCGGAGTCCAGCCCGGGGTCGTCACATGCGGTTGCCGCAAGCCCGCCGGCCGCTCCTTTGTAGAATCCGCCGGCCGCGCCGTTCTCAAGCACACCCGCCTCTGCTCACTGTAGACCGCCGTGTGTTTCGTTGTGAAAGCGAAACTATTTGTTTGGCTTCCAAAAGAGGACACGGCTAGAAATCGCTGGTTAAGTTGTATTTACAACACTGTTCCAGAACACTTCAACCCAAACATTCAGATGTGTGCAGCGCATTTTATGGAGGACTGTTTCCTGATCCTGGGAGAGTAGACTACAATGCCGGCTGTTCTGACTCACAGACTGTAAGTACGTTTTTTATATTTAAAGAATTATCCACTGATGACTCAAACGTGAGTTTTGGGCAGTGTAGAGTAGCACTTGTTGTTTGTCATTTCTCCGATCACAAATGCAGACATGGTTTTATGTTTACGCAGCGCGATACGCAGTGCAACGCGTAAAAAGACAGTATAAGTCATTATAATCCGTAATTATGTCCCCACTGGATGCAACAAATGCCTCGTTTATAATGAGTTTTCATGTTTTTGTCTCGTCGCTCGGCATCATCACAGTATGGTGAGGGGCGTAACATTTCCGTCACACGCTTGAGGTATTCGGCCAATCACAACGGACTGGATAGCTGGCCAATCAGAGCACACCTCGCTTTTCAGACCGATGAGCTTTGTAAAAATCGACGCGTTTCAGAAAGGCGGGGCATAGAGGAGAAATAATAATGTACAGTATGTGGAAAATAATGTGTTTTTAAACCTTAAACTGCATAAACACATTTCATTACACCAAATACACTAAATAATGTTCTTTTTAGCAACATCATATGACCCCTTTAAACGGCACTTTTCTTTTTCTTATTGTTTAGGTTTTCCGCTTCCTATTAATTTGTAAAATATTTTTTAAATGATTTAGGAAAATTAAGTCTATTTTTAGAACCATTAGAATTTTTGCATTGTGGCATTTTCATTCAAATTAAATACTTCACAATTTAAATAATGCATCATTTTTTGCAATACAGTGATGAGAATTTGAGAGACAAATGTGGTTAATTGTCATAAAAATAATGTCACAACATTATATTCATTAAAATTAAATACTTTACTGTTTAAATGTATAATTATTTTTTCTCACTTTACATTAATGAGAATCTGAGAGAAATTTGATTATCAAGAAAATAATGATACAATATTATTTTCATTAAAATGATATATTTAAAAAAAAAATGTTTTTACAGTACAGTAAAGAGAATTTGACAGAAAAATTTGGTTAATTATCATTTTTTACAAGTTACTTTCATTAAAATTTATATTTTTTCAATTCTAATAATGTACAATTGTTTTATTCTCGCATGACAGTAATTAAAAAGTGAGGGGAAAAATGTGGTTAATTATCACGCAAATAATGTCACAATGCAAAAGCTTACATTTCTTTACGCAAAATATAATTTCATTTTTTTCTCGTTGTTTTTTTTAGATTTACTCGTTCTCTTTCCACTCTTTTTTATGTTTATTAGTGGTTGTTATTGTGTTGTGCAGCTCTAAATTAAATTATTATTTTTTTTTTTACAAACTCAATCTCATTCAGTGTCTCATTTGGCACTATAAAAACTGCCAGTGATTTGCATCTGAAGTAGAAGAAACGAGTCAAACAGTTGAAGTGGATGTGTCTGTGGAGTTAGATCATGTGATGTCAGATCAGTGAGCTGCACACACTCTCTCTCTCTCTCTCTCTCTCTCTCACACACACACACCTCGTTTAACACTGTATGCTGGCTGTTCCCTGTTCAAATGGCCTATAAATACACACTGACTGCCAAAATGACATTAATCTTGTGCTTTTCTTCTCCTCAGGTGATGAAGAATATGTGGAAGCAGGTATACAGAGATGCTTTACACTTCCTCAAGAGAAACGGTGAGTCGTTTGCAAATGTTTCAGCGAGCAGATTTGTTTTTGTTTTTTTACATCAGTGTATTTCACCAAACCAAAACTCCAAAACTCTTGATTTACTCCTGGATATGGGCAGGTATTCTAGTTATCACAGGATGTTCATGGAATGGCATTTACAGTTTTTGCCTATTGCTTGAACACTATAGACACATGCTTAGACCAAAGTAACAAAACTTGAAGCTTTTGTTACTGCACCTTAAACACAGTGTAACCATACCTTAAACAAAAGCGCTGCTTTGCACTTCAGTTGCAATTCTGCGACACACTTGCTCCTGCACCCTACACACTATTTCATACATAAGACACTTCGTTCATAAGTGAAATCTCATGGGTACCATTGGGAAAACACATCTATTCAAAATACAAAACACATTGGGTGATTGAAAACACTTAGACACACACCTGAAAACACTTAGACGGCAGGATCTGTAATCCCACCCACGCACAATTGGCCTGTTTTTCTGTATTTACAGTAGTGTATTTTGTGTTTTATTTTTGCATTACTGCATTTACTGTACTGTACTGTACTATAGTACTGTGATGTGCAGTATTGAGTTGATGTCATTTGTAACCTTTCAGTGCTTTCATTTTTGGAAAAAAACAGAACAAAAACTGTAAGTGTTGCATTGAGCTTCACAGAATGCTACCTGATGAACTGAATAAAAACAGTGAAAATTAAAGACTGCAGTGTTTTGTATAAAGTACAGTTGTGTGTTGCTGCTAATCTGAAAGTCTATTCATATGATGCAAGTGTGTATCATTTTGTCATCAGAGTGACATTTTGACAAAGAATTGTTAGGTTTTGATTTCCCAGTGTTGTGTCTTGTGTGCTTGTGTGTAAAGTTTTGACACAATGAGCCGAAGTTTTGCAAAAAGTGTAATATCTGTCTGCTGGCCCACAGCTGTGCTGCTGAAGATTTTTTTTTTTTTATCACAGCTGTAATGAAGCGGAAAGTCAGGCTGATGCCGAAGAGTTTCACTGGTGTTAGAGAGACCTCTAGTGACCAATACTGACAGTACAGATCATAAAAGAGAGAGATATATAATTATATAATTATGTATCTTTTTTTAATATATATTTATGAATATAATATAATAATATAAATTAAATATAATTCTATATATTTCATTATTGATCTTTTTAACCTTATATATACAATTAATTATGTTTAATTATTTTTGATTAATTACTTATTCATTTAATGTATACTTTTATTTTTCAAATATCACTATATAACTTTATATAATATAGATTAAATGTAATTCTATATGTTTCATTCATTTATATGTTAAATTTTTTCAAATATTATTATTATATAACTTTATATAGTATAAATTAAATATAATTCTATATATTTCATTATTTATATTTTTTAACTTTATATATACATTTACTTATGTATAATTCATTTTGATTATTTATTTAGTTTTTTTTCCATTTACATATATAATTTATTAATGTATACATATTTTTCAAATATAATTAATATATTAATGCATTGCATGTAAAGAAGAAATGACGTGAATTTGTGCATTTTAATGTGTTTGAAAGACAAAAGCCTTCCAAAGATATAACCATTAATACATGGTTAAATAACCCACTGACCGATAATTCATATAAAAATGAGTGTCAGCAATTGATGCAATGTTGAAATATTGAGAAAAGACTTCTTAAAACTGAAATGATTTTGGTCAAATGCTGTGTGGCCTCTCGGTTTACTGTGTAATTATGGCCACATGGTCTTTGTGTGAATGGTCTGGAAGACTTTCTGAATGTATATGAGTGGTAAGCTTTTTTTAAATATGAAAAAGAGGAATTAGGGGGAATCAATAAATGATGTATAATGTATTGCCATTGTGTGAATATGTAATCATGTAATCAGTAAAAAGTAACTGTAGTCTGATTCCGAGTATTTTCAAATGTAATTTAATCTAATAGCAAGTACTTAATTTTTGGAATCTGATTACGTAATCCAGATTACATGTTCATCAGTTACTACCCAGCTCTCTCTCTCTCTCTCTCTCTCTCTCTCTATATATATATATATAACACCCAATAAATGTCATCAGTACAACTTGTGTATTGTACTCCAAGTAGCTGAGTAGATTGTTGTGAACCTTCTCTATAAGATTCATCTCAGATCTCTTCCTCGCTGTGTGTATGAGTGTGTTTCAGGTCTGTTACAGTATGGAGGTCCACACCGTATGCTGGCCGTAGCTGATGGAGGGGCTGAGGAAGAGTCTGACAGTGAGGATGATGAAGAGTCCGAGAGCAGAGAGGACAGAGAAACACTGGATCACTCCAGCATCGAGGAACACATCTTTGAACACCTTCCTCCGAGAGTACTGACAGACAACAGGACTGTGCTGACTATTCTGGTACTCTCTGAAGTACCTTTGTGATGTGTTAGAGGTTGACTCTGTGTTGTTGTTCCTGTAGGGAGAGGCGGAGTCTGGTGCAGTCGCTAAGCAACATGCTGCCAGTCAGAATGCATCTAAGCATCTGTAAAGCATACATGTAAAGCATCTGCCATCCTGTTACCGTACACACTTCCTCTGGAATCAGCTCCGTCACTGAGCATCAGGTGAAGACTTTATGGACACTGCAGATATTGTCAGAGCAGGTGTTCATGCAATACTCATCTGATATAGAATTATTATAATTACAGGTATTAATAAATTCATGGTATAAACTTGAAAAAATAAATAAATAATGTACATGTTACACAATGTAAAAAAAATATTTTTTTATTATATTATATATTATTTTTGTTTACGCTGGTGATTGTCATCCCAATTTGAAATCTCTTTAATTGAACTCTTTCTCTCAGACTGTTGGAGTGGCTGCCAGACATTCAGGAGGATGTGGGCTGGATGAAGGAGCAGAGAGAGAGAGAGAGAGAGAGAGAGAGAGAGACCGCACAAACACAGACTCGGAGAGGACAGTCTGACCAGAAGCTCAGTCTCCAAGTCATTTAATATCATGGTAGCAGTATACATCGTGATAGTTAGTTACTTATATTACATAACCATGTAGCAATGTATAATATTCTACAGTCTAGTGACTTTAAAATGTTTATTTCATATTTTTAACAGCTCTGCTTGCTATCTTTTCTACAATTTTATTCTCAAGTAAATTTATCTAAAGGATGTTTAATCTTAATCACCGAAATTTCGGCCGCCGAAAATTAAAAGAGAAAATATATGGTGCGCTGAACACAGGTTTCACTCTCCCTCTAGCCGTCGTTCAATCTTTTACTATTTATGCTATTCATTACTAGTGTATATAATAATAGTTATATTATATACATTTTAAGAAGTTTAATCTACAATTTAGTAATCGTATATACTGTAAGTAGTAGTAATAAAATATAGAATATATATATATATATATATATATATAAGATTTTTTTAAAGATGTTCCAATTCCGAATTCCTAATCAATTAAAAAATCAATAAAAAAAAAAGTTGTTTTAATTTTGCAAGTTATATATATTGTAAGTAAATGTATCATAAGGATGTTTAATCTCTTCAAATTAAATTGAATGATGTTCAGTTAAAATTTTAAATAACATTTTGTACAATCTAGTGACATTAAAACCATAAATATAAATAGTAGTAATGTGATTAAACGTTTGACAGCACTAATATATATATATATAATTACATAAACATACATATAAAATTAAAAGAGAAAAATCTTTGTATATAGATTATATTTTTTAACAAGTCTTACTAAAAAAGCAAAAAAAATTTTTTTTTATAAGTCATATGTAAGTACATTTATTACAAGAATGTTTCATCTTCCAATGCCTAATCAATTCAAATTCGCACTCACTGATTAAAAAGGAGCCTAAAATGCTCAACCCTACTTAATAGACAACATTTTCAAAAATGTAACCGGAAGCTTTTACTTTTCTTTCTCTCTCAGCTTTTCATATCAGCTGGAATTGAAACATTCCCAGTCTGTCCCGGCCAGCTTCAGTGTGGCACGTCTGCTCCCGGGCTGGGTCTACGGGGGCAGCTCCACAGTCCTGGACGCAATGCTGCGATTGGACCGGTACCAGCGCTAACTCCTGCCAGGCTTTTTCTGTGTCAGTCTGGACCTCCGAGGGTCTTTCACCACCAGTTCGGCTCACCCCAGTGCCTCCAGCTCCCTGAGCCACCCAAGACGCAATGGAGGGTCTTACCATGCGTCCCATCAGAGCCCTGAACACCAGCCTGCTCCCTTAACCTCTGGGCCTGAGAGACCATTATATCCCACAATGCACTGTGATGATGCCGAGGAACCTTGAGTAGAACATTTCGGTGCCTGATGGTTAGCATCAGCAGAAAGAAAGCAAATGCTTTGCAAATCTTTGTGAGAAGTTTGAGTTTTGAATTTTTTAAAGCAGAGATTTTAATGTCCATGACCATAGTACATATATATTTATATACATGAATCACATCAGTAGCATTGCATAAGCAGAAGATCATCCACCTAGAAAATTGGTCTCACCTCAAAAACATCCTTTACAGCGAAATAATACACTTTTTGATGAATAATTCATGTAAGTGCTTTACCAAAAATACAAGCTTCACATTTGTTGCTTACTTCCATTGTAAGTGTGTTACTGTATTTACTGAAGAACAGGACAAAAATTGAGCTCAATCTGTATTAAACCAGGAACAGTCCTTTAAGACGGATCAGAAAGAAACGCAATTTCCCTCAGAATGTCCTCGGATGTGTCTCTCGTGTCCTGGTTCATCAGGATTTATGTTTTGAAGGCACCTCAGCATAGTTTTAAACCCGAGAAAGTAAAGTGATCCGGATTGAGGCGGTTTCTGAAGGTTTATGCATGTAGACTGATTCAAAGCAAACCATGTGACCATATGCTCTGGCGATACTGCTATTGTACTGTACTTGTAATTTGCATTATCACTCAGTGGGTTATATAAGCATGTATTACTAAGTCTTTGGAAGGCTTTTGTCTTTCAAATGCACAAATTCACGTTATTTCTTATTTACATGTAATGCAGGTATTCCCAAACCTCTTTCACCTAATATATTTACTTTAAGTACCCCTGAGATTTTAAAATAAATATTTCAGTAATTAAATATCACATTTGCATGTTCACGGTTAATGCAGGGAGACAAATAAAATATTGAGTTTTTTAGTAAGTGTTTTGTTTGGACTGATGTTATTTTAAGATGATTTATTTTAATTGTACATTTTTATGATTTAGTTAATTATAAGCTTTTCATTGAACTCACGACCCCAGTTTGGGAAACCTTTATAATGTAATGTTTAATGTCGTAAATAACAACGAATGGAACATATTTTCTTTTTCTTTGCATTTTTATATCAATATGGTACAACATTGTCCTATTTAAATCACTGTGATAAACAAGTTAGGCCAGAAGACATTTAAAAGTAATTAAAAAGTAGTCTGATTATATTACCTAAAATGTGTAATCTAATGGATTACGTTACTAACTACGATTTGTGTCATGCATTTTGGAATCAGTAATGGATTACGATTTGTAAGTAATCTAGCTCTGCTGATTGCTTGTATATTATTATCAGTGTTGGGGAAAGTTACTTTTAAAAGTAATGCATTACAATATTGCGTTACTCCATAAAAAAGTAACTAATTACATTACTTAGTTACTTTTTATGGAAAGTAATGCGTTACGTTACTTTTGCGTTACTTTTTAAATCTGGACAGGGCTTGCTTGCTTGTTTTTAAATAAAAAAGTTATATTTTTGGCAAATATAAAAGCCTTCTCACACCAGAAGTGAAATGAATGCGCCTCAGGCTGAAGGGAAAGTACAGTAGAATACAGAAGAAGACATTTCAACACACTTCAGCAATAAACAAAGACACAAATGTTTGTCTGGAGTAATTAGTGCTTATTAGTACGGCTGAACTGAATCATCGAAGGTCAGAAGCAAAATAGAAAGGGATTAAATACATAAAGCATATTTGTGTTGTTTAACATTTAATTATTGCAGGTTTGCGTCATATTCTGAGTTGCATTATTTTATTCATTTTGAGGAATACTGAATCTGTGTTTTGTGTGAGTGAGATAATGCATATTCATATTTATTTCAGAGCTACAGTAACATCTGATTTCTCTCAGCATGGCGACAGCAGAGCTGCCAGTCAATAATTTGGGGAAAAAAGTAACTTGCGTTACTTATTTGAAAAAGTAACTCAGATATTCTCTTGTAAATTAAAAAGTAATGCGTTACTTTACTAGTTACTTGGAAAAAAGTAATCTGATTACGTAACTCTCGTTACTTGTAATGCGTACAAGTTTTTAGGGCGACTTTTTTATGGATTTATTGTAGTAATGGTAGATTGGTTTGAACTGAAAAAAACGCCAGTTGTTGATAAACTATTAAAAATAGATAATATAGAGTAGCCTATTTATGCTTTGTGAACATCCTCAGCGATTCGCTTCGTTCGATTCCGATTGACTCACAAACAGGAATCAGTCCGAGTGAATCGTTCGAAAGAGTCGGTTCGAAAGAACGATTCGTACGTGAATCGGACATCACTTGTCTGATGCGCTGAAACTCCCCGGGAGAGAGCGAGGGAGGAAGATGGCGGCCACTGACCGTTCCCGGTCCGAAGCGGCAAAGCAGCGGCGGCAGGATCAGCTGCAGCGGTGGCAGGGCTCGGAGACGGACCGGACCGGGGCGGAGGCGAGGAGCCAGTCCTCCGCTCCCGGAAACCGACGGGCCCGAGTGCGCTTCGCCCAGGGCGCCGTGTTCATGGCCGCCTGCTCCGCCGGGGACCGGGAGGAGGTGGCGGAGCTCCTGCGACAGGGAGCAGATATCAACCACGCCAATATAGACGGGCTGACGGCGCTGCATCAGGTACCCGGAGCACGCTCGATTGTTCGCTGAAGCTTGACTCGGTTCGGAAACTTCTGCGAAAGTTCACTAACTTTTCTGGGCGCCGTTCTCAACTTGTGTGGTCGATGTCTAGAGATGATGAACAGGAGGCATCTCTTAAAAATCTTTAGAAATGCTATCTTTGTGTTCGTATGTCATGCATTTTTGAAAACAAACAAACATGCTGTTTTATGCAAAAAAATATAACGTTTAAAAATATCAATTATGTAAGCATCAAGTAGAATTTTTATTAGTGAAATACTCAAATGCATGGTGTGTACACTATTTAATTAGTGTGCTGAGTCAGATTATTAGTGTTTGACCCAAACAAAAGATGGCTTTTCATAAAGAAGTTATAATATGTGTTATTAATAAAACTTAAACTTGACTAGGGTGACTACTGACTTTACAGATTTTCAAATGTTTATATTTTGAAACAAAATTGGTGCTTTTTTTTTTTTTTTTATTAGAATTTTAATATTAAAACAATTCCACCAGTTTGTAAGAAATTTTAGTTACACCTTGTAGACATTTTTATGAAAACCTGTTTCCGCCAAGGGGAAAAAAATAAATAAAATAAAGGTAAGTGAACAATTCTAGGGTTGGTAGATACAACGATGTTAATTAAACACCTCCCCGCAATCCGCCGCATCCCAATACCGTGTTCGGGAAGACCATCACATGTACACACAACCCCTAAAGGGAATAAATACTAGATTTTTGAAAATTACATATTTTAATAATTTCTCTCGCAGTTATATTATTGGGTAATTATACTGTATATAAATTGCTGGCGTCAGGGAGCCCCGCTATTATGCCTGGCAATGAAATTGCTTTTAAATGCACGATCGCATTTTAGTTTCACTTTCACTTTCCAGATTTGCGATAGCACGTACTCCGTTTATACTATAAAGCGCGGTACTTGCCACACATTTTACAAGATTAGATGTTTGTCATTGGTGCTGAGGATCTGCAAATCATTCGCCATCGTGCTCGGTCATCTCTCCTTACTCCGTGGTAACCGGTAAGTTACATTTTATGTACTGTAATGTAACAGGCAATCGTTTTCTGAATACGGATTCACGCTTCGGGCACACCCCCTAACTTTCCTCACAATTCTGAGAAGAAACGTCAAAATTGAGATGAGTCACAATTACCTTTTTTTAATTATTATTCTTTGGCGGAAACAAAAAACTGAATTGTGAGAGACGTAAAGTCAGAATTTTAAGAAAACTGTCAGAATTGCGAGATATAAATGTCAATGCCATGCTGACTTTTTCTCTCAGAACTGCAAGAAACGGTCGGAATTGGGAGGTAAAAATTCACAATTACCTTTTTTTAATTTGTTTAATTTATTTTTTATTCCATTATTTATTATTCTCATATATTTTGACCTAAAGCTGCACAAAAAAACTTTTACAAAAGGTGTATTCAAGCCGTTTTTTTGTATAATTCTAAATGCATTTTTGATCATAATAGATCCTAATATAAATGAGCATTATTGATCCAGATACAATGTATCAAACATCCTAAAAAGTATTGTTGGGTTATACTAGTTCATTATAACAGACTTATTAAAGTGGTGATTTAAACCTGAAATCACTTTGAAACCTCGTCGCAAACTGTACAAACTTTTAAACGCATTGGCTGTTTTGGGTCTGAATGCCCGAAGTCTGGTATTTTGACATGTTTATGTACTATTATAATGTCAGAAACTGTGTTTCCAGGACATATTTAGTTTTAGCGGTGTTGTTTTGCGCTAAGGCCAGTTGTTGGGTTGCCTTGCTGGTGTGGTTTTGGTTCTGGACTGGAATAGTTGTGTTCCTCTGGCGCAGATGGATCTGGACTCTCTGTGTAGTTGTTTAGGGTAGCTGAGCTGATGCTGTTTTAATGACGGCCCGTCCCGTTTAATGTGGCTCCTGCCCACTTCTGACTCCACTGTCCCAGCATCCAGACTGAACTGGCAGAGCAAGACTTTCCTCATAGCTTCAGCGCTGCTTCAGAGAATGGCTGGAATTCACGCCGGCCCTTTTCATTCAGTGTTTGTTTTTGTTCTTTTTTTCGTTCTTCCTCTCAGCTGTGTATGTTTTTTTTTTTTTTTTAATTACATGATTATTTTCGGCTTTTGGTGTCTCATCCTTTTGTTTCCACAGTACAGTTTTCCTCAGAAACCAGCTAATCCTGACCTAGAGCTTTAAAAGGGGAAAAAGCCTGCTGAAAAATGATAGTATGTTTGAGGTTATGTGGATGTCTGTCTTGAATCTATTATAACAAGCTTCTGTTGAAGAGAGCCACTTCAAAAAAACTGCAGAAGGTTTTGCTCAAATCC